GATGAACGTTGTACCTTCAGGCGTTTGGAAATTGCTCCCAAGGATGAACCAGATTTGTGGAGGTCTACAATTTTTTTCTGAAGTCTTGGCTGATTTCTTTTGATTTTCCCATGATGTCAAGCAAAGAGGCACTGAGTTTGAAGGTAGGCCTTGAAATACATCCACAGATACACCTCCAATTGACTCAAATTATGTCAATTAGCCTATCAGAAGCTTCTAATGCCATGACATCATTTTCTGGAATTTTCAAGCTGTTTAAAGGCACAGTCAACTTAGTGTATGTAAACTTCTGACCCACTGGAATTGTGATACAGTGAATGATAAGTGAAATAATCTGTCTGTAAACAATTGTTGGAAAAATGACTTGTGTCATGCACAAAGTAGATGTCCTAACCGACTTGCCAAAACGATAGTTTGTTAACAAGAAATGTGTGGAGTGGTTGAAAAACGAGTTTTAATGTCTCCAACCTCAGTGTATGTAAACTTTCGACTTCAACTGTATATACAGCTGCGGAAAAAATTAAGAGACCACTGCAAATGTATCAGTTTTTCTGGTTTTACTATTTATAGGTACAGTGAGGAAAAAAGTATTTGATCCCCTGCTGATTTTGAACGTTTGCCCACTGACAAAGAAATGATCAGTCTATAATTTTAATGGTAGGTTTATTTGAACAGTGAGAGACAGAATAACAACAACAATATCCAGAAAAATGCATGTCAAAAATGTTATAAATTGATTTGCATTTTAATGAGGGAAATAAGTATTTGACCCCCTCTCAATCAGAAAGATTTCTGGCTCCCAGGTGTCTTTTATACAGGTAACGAGCTGAGATTAGGAGCACACTCTTAAAGGGAGTGCTCCTAATCTCAGTTTGTTACCTGTATAAAAGACACCTGTCCACAGAAGCAATCAATCAATCAGATTCCAAACTCTCCACCATGGCCAAGACCAAAGAGCTCTCCAAGGATGTCAGGGACAAGATTGTAGACCTACACAAGGCTGGAATGGGCTACAAGACCATCGCCAAGCAGCTTGGTGAGAAGGTGACAACAGTTGGTGCGATTATTCGCAAATGGAAGAAACACAAAAGACTGTCAATCACCCTCGGCCTGGGGCTCCATGCAAAATCTCACCTCGTGGAGTTGCAATGATCATGAGAACAGTGAGGAATCAGCCCAGAACTACACGGGAGGATCTTGTCAATGATCTCAAGGCAGCTGGGACCATAGTCACCAAGAAAACAATTGGTAACACACTAAGCCGTGAAGGACTGAAATCCTGCAGCTCCCGCAAGATCCCCCTGCTCAAGAAAGCACATATATAGGGACGTCTGAAGTTTGCCAATGAACATCTGAATGATTCAGAGGAGAACTGGGTGAAAGTGTTGTGGTCAGATGAGAACAAAATCGAGCTCTTTGCCATCAACTCAACTCGCCGTGTTCGGAGGAGGAGGAATGCTGCCTATGACCCAAAGAACACCATCCCCACTGTCAAACATAGAGGTGGAAACATTATGCTTTGGGGGTGTTTTTCTGCTAAGGGGACAGGACAACTTCACCGCATCAAAGGGACAATGGACGGGCCATGTACCGTCCAATCTTGGGTGAGAACCTCCTTCACTCAGCCAGGGCATTGAAAATGGGTCGTGGATGGGTATTCCAGCATGACAATGACCCAAAATACACGGCCAAGGCAACAAAGGAGTGGCTCAAGAAGAAGCACATTAAGGTCCTGGAGTGGCCTAGCCAGTCTCCAGACCTTAATCCCATAGAAAATCTGTGGAGGGAGCTGAAGGTTCGAGTTGCCAAACGTCAGCCTCGAAACCTTAATGACTTGGAGAAGATCTGCAAAGAGGAGTGGAGCAGAATCCCTCCTGAGATGTGTGCAAACCTGGTGGCCAACTACAAGAAACGTCTGACCTCTGTGATTGCCAACAAGGGTTTTGCCACCAAGTACTAAGTCATGTTTTGCAGAGGGGTCAAATACTTATTTCCCTCATTAAAATGCAAATCAATTGATAACATTTTTGACATGCGTTTTTCTGGATTTTTTGTTTTTGTTATTCTGTCTCTCACTGTTCAAATAAACCTACCATTAAAATTATAGACTGATCATGTCTTTGTCAGTGGGCAAACGTACAAAATCAGCAGGGGATCAAATACTTTTTTCCCTCACTGTATGTTTTTGGGTAAAAATAACAATTTTGTTTTATCCTATAAACTACTGACAACATTTCTCCCAAATTCCAAATAAAAATATTGTCATTTAGAGCATTTATTTGCAGAAAATCACAACTGGTCAAAATAACAAAAAATATGCAGTGTTGTCAGACCTCGAATAATGCAAAGAAAATAAGTTCATTTTTAAACAACACAATAGTAATGTTTTAACTTAGGAAGAGTTCAGAAATCAATATTTGGTGGAATAACCCTGATTTTCAATCACAGCTTTCATGCGTTTTGGCATGCTCTCCACCAGTCTTTCACATTGATTTTGGGTGACTTTATGCCACTCCTGGCGCAAAAATTCAAACAGCTCGGCTTTTTTTGATGGCTTGTGACCATCCATCTTCCTCTTCATCACATTCCAGAGGTTTTCAATGGGGTTCAGGTCTGGAGATTGGGCTGGCCATGACAGGGTCTTGATCTGGTGGTCCTCCATCCACACCTTGATTGACCTGGCTGTGTGGCATGGCACATTGTCCTGCTGGAAAAACCAATCCTCAGAGTTGGGGAACAATGTCAGAGCAAAAGGAAGCAAGTTTTCTTCCAGGACAACCTTGTATGTGGCTTGATTCATGCGTCCTTCACAAAGACAAATCTGCCCGATTCCAGCCTTGCTGAAGCACCCCCAGATCATCACCGATCCTCCACCAAATTTCACAGTGGGTGCGAGACACTGTGGCTTGTAGGCCTCTCCAGGTCTCCGTCTACCCATTAGACGACCAGGTGTTGGGCAAAGCTGAAAATTGGACTCATCAGAGAAGATGACCTTACTCCAGTCCTCTATGGTCCAATCCTTATGGTCTTTTGCAAACCTCAGCCTGGCTCTTCTTTGCTTCTCATTGATGAAGGGCTTTTTTCTAGCTTTCACGACTTCAGCCCTGCCCCTAGGAGCCTGTTTCGAACCGTCCTCGCCGTGCACTTCATCCCAGCTGCCGTTTGCCATTATTTTTGTAGGTCACTCTATGTCATCCTATGGTTGTTGAGTGACATTCGAATGAGTTGGCGGTCATCCCGGTCAGTAGAGAGTCGTTTTCGCCCTCTGCCGGTCTGTAGCTTTGCTGTCCCCAATATCTGCTGCTTGACCTTGTTCTTATGAACCGCCGTCTTTTAAATGTTAAAGATGGAAGCAACCTGACGCTCACTGTATCCCTCTGCCAGTAAAGCCAGAATTGAACCTTTCTTTCCTCACTCAAAACTTTCCTTTTCAACTCTTTTGGCATGGTCAATAGTTATTTTTTGATTAATATTACTTTTGAGGTACTATTAGCACTGTTTTTGCCATCCAGGTGGTCCTAATGCAAGAGGATAGTGATGACCACAGCAGTGGTTTTTATACTTTTCCCCGTTAAATAAGATTTGATTCAGGTGATCACCTAATCAGTACCTAATTCAGTAGAATGAGGTGTGCATGTGTTGGAATTCAACAGACACTGGAATGGAATGGCTGTCATACATGTCTTCTCTTAATTTTTTCCAGAGCTGTATGTGTGTTTGGGTATCAGTGTATGTGTGAGTGTGTTGGTAGAATACAGCGTGTGTGCATAGAGTCAGTGCAAGAGAGTTAGTGCAAAAAGGGTAAATGCGGGTAGTCTTGGTAGCCATTTGATTAGCTATTTAGCAGTCTTCTTTCGAAGTCTTATTAGAATGGCTTAGAAGGTCAACGCTAGAAATAGAGCCTATTGCGCACCTACGACTCTTTACACATGCAGGCAAGACATCTGGAAGCTCATAAGTTTGGCAAGCAAATATAACACCAGTATTTGGTCTAATTAAGTCTCTGCATATATAGGCCACGAAATGTCAAACAGTGGTGACAGTATGTGACTATCAAAAGGGATATTACGTTGGAAAGAATGTGTGCTACAGTATTAATTGCAGTAAGTAAATGGGATAGTATATATTCTGAGGATTCCACCGGGCTTCAGAAGAACTCGTCCACGAAACGCACTCCACATCCATTGCAGGTCAACATGAGTCTTTTCTTGTAGGTGTGTGCCGATAAATAAATTAAATGAATAAGAATTAAATCCATATTTCAAATAAAAGTGTCCCTTTTATATAATACAAAAAAACTGCAGGCCTAAATTAAATCCATTTGCTTCTTCACTAGTTTTATTCCAATGTAGGCATATTTGTCTCATTTGGAGATATTCATACTGGTATTTTGTTCGATAATAATTCAATTGTTGTAAATGCAAAAGGATCATCACGACCATTGCAGGCGTGCGTAATGACGTAAATTAGCGAGTGAAAATACCTATATGAGAAGTGCTTTGAATGCGTTTAAGTGTCCTCTAAATCGGAAACATATACTGTATGTCCTATATGTAGAAACAATATTGTGGATATTTCCAACAACAGCTGTATTTATGAAGAACAAAAACAGTTCAGGCATAAGTGACGTTCAGACTCATCATGTTGTCATATAGTCATTAAAGGGGAGGCCAAGTTTGACACATTGTAGCCTATTCATGATTTATGTGTTGTTGATTTTCCATTACAGAGCCTTGAGCTCATTTCAATGGGCGAAAACACCCCAAAACGAACTTGTTGAAATTCAATAAGATCCACACGGAGCGATATTCTCTACAAATGAAACCATATTTCACTAATCGGACGATATTCAACATATGAAAGGATCATGAATTCCCTTTTCTCGAAGGATGCGCACGACTCTCTAATCGGTGGAACCTTTGTCACTTGGAATCATCACTCATACCCAAACGTTACGCGCCAGAAGGAAACCCCCCTTACCACCTGATGCCAGACGAACCGTTTAAAAGACTGGTTCGTAGGGGGGACTAGAACAACAGAAGGAGCAGCAGAACCAGAAGAGAAGCACATCTCGACGATTTTCTGCCCAATTGAACCGCCTTCATCCATCCTCTGCCTCCCCCGAGATCCAGAAGAAGATGCTCTCGACGCGTGTCCAGTGCGCACTAGCGCTGCTTTCCCTAGCCCTGGCCATCAGCAGCGTCTCTGCGGCTCCGTCCGACGCCAAACTCCGCCAGCTGCTTCAACGGTCACTCATGGCACCTGCAGGCAAACAGGTAAATACCTTCAATCAGACTTTCATTATAAGTATTCGTTCTTAATCAATGCATATCTCCAGCTGCTGTGGCAATATAATACGATTTTTCCTGAGTTTGGTGGTACAGCTGCCAACTTAATTTTAAGTATATTTACCTCTAGAGTATAGAGACTATACCTTCTACAGATTTAAGGTTAAATATTGTGTTGCCATACATTTACCTCTGCGGTTTTACTGGCAGGCGCATGGGAAATGTATCGATCAAATTAGCACAATGCAGGGACAGCATGGTGCACATTTTCAGGGTGCCGAAGCGACCACAAAATGAAGTATTTGTATTTGTAAAAATATTTGGGGTCCAGCAAAAATTAAGCCAGTTATATACAATTAAAAAAGTATTACATTACATTTCACAACAGATTAAGTGTGTGCCCTCAGGCCACAACTGTACTACCACATATCTACAATACAAAATCCATGTGTGTGTGTGTATGCGTGTGTCTGTGCCTGTGCCTGTGCCTGTGCCTGTGTCTCTTCACAGTCCCCACTGTTCCATAAGGTGTATTTTTATCCGTTTTTTTTATCCGATTGTACTGCTTGCATGAGTTACTTGATGTGAAATAGTTCCATGTAGTCATGGCTCTAAGTAGAACTGTGTGCCTCCAATAGTCTGTTCTGGACTTGGGGACTGTGAAGAGACCTCTGGGGGCATGTCTTGTGAGGTATGCATGGGTGTCTGAGCTGTGTGCTAGTAGTTTAAAACAGACAGCTCGGCGCATTCAACATGTCAATACTTCTCACAAATACAAGTAGTGATGAATTCAATCTCTCCTCTACATTGAGCCAGGAGATATTGACATGCATATTATTAAGTGCGGAGGAATGTGGAAATACCGATATCAGAGCAACTAACGAAATGTAAATGTGAATTGTTATATATTTTAAATCAACCTTTAAAATGAAAATGTGTAAAATAAAAACGAAAGAGGTCTTTGGAATTTGCGGTCTGCTGTAGTTAGTTGTCAATTACGCACAAGCAAAACTTGACGAGAATAGTCAAAACATACAGTAGAATGGGTATAAACGGAACTAATGTTTATTAATGAAACGTGTTCTTCCCCCCAAAAAAAACATGTTGAAAAATTTTTTTTTACATCTCATTTTATGTGATCGGTTCATGCGTAACAGCATTGGAAAGGTCATTTAAATAGATTTGCAGCCATCTTAAATCACTAGAAATAATGCAGATCTAATAGCCTTCATCTATTTTAGCAATGTGAAGGAAGAGAAAACAACATTCAAACACTGATTTCCTTCCTAAATGTGTAGGCTACATTTTATTAAGGCATGTTGATTTGTTTCTATTTCAGTGGATCTTGTTGCTAAAATGTGCAATTTTCTGTCTCCACAAAACAGAAGAAATAACAATGTAATCTTATTTATCTATTTTCAGGCGCTTGCTAGGTATACACTCGCAGAGCTGCTCTCAGAGCTCGCACAAGCAGAGAACGAGGCGATTGAGTCAGATGACATGTCTCGTGGCATGGAGCAGGAGGATGTGCGTCTCGAGCTGGAGCGTGCAGCCGGCCCAGTACTGGCGCCGCGTGAACGCAAGGCTGGATGCAAGAACTTCTTCTGGAAAACCTTTACATCATGTTAATTCATATACACCCGGGCCCTTTACTGCGTATACTACATCTCATCTCTTTTGTTTCAATCATTCACTGCTGAAACCAATGCACCATGGTCTAACCCGCCTCTCCAAAAAAATGTAAATAAACATTGCTATAACTTTAACAGCAATCATTCTGATGTCTTTATCGATCATTTGGATTTTTCCGAAAAAACACATGAAAGAATGTCCTACAGAATGTATGCAATTCTGCTTTTGACTGTGGTTTCTGTATTCTGGCAGATAAACTATTTTTTATTGTTTGTTTGAATAAAATCTATGTTTCAGAACCAATGTGTTGATTCATACATTGTTATCTTGCTCCTCCTCTCAAATTGGGTTGTTTTATTCAGGAATGGCTATTATAGTCTATTCCTATTTGATGTTAGCGCACATGTTTCCAGGATAAGCATGCTAATTTCCTCCATTTGGAGTGATGTTTTGAATGCTTTGGTTACAGGATGTAGTTTTATTTTAGGCGGTAAATCCATTGTTGGATAAACTGACTTTGTTGTGTTGTGGTGGGCCATAAGAAGATATAATTTATGAAGGGTAGGCATAATGTAAACATTGACCCCATGAACCTCCAGCAACAACATGTATACATACCAAACATTAGGAACACCTTCCTAATATTGAGTTGCACTCCGCACCTTTTGCCCTCAGAACAGCCTCAATTCATCGGGGCATGGACTCTACAAGATGTCGAAAACGTTGAACAGGGATGCTGGCCCATGTTGACTCCAATGCTTCCCACAGTTGTGTCACGTTAGCTGTATGTCCTTTGGGTGGTAGACCATTCTTGATACACACGAGAAACTGTTGAGTGTGAAAAACCCAGCAGCATTGCAGTTCTTGACACACTCAAACAGGTGCGCCTGGCACCTAATACCATACCCCATTCAAAGGCACTTAAATCTTTTGTCTTGCCCATTCACCCTCTGAATGGCGCACATACACAATCCATGTCTCAATTGTCTCAAGGCTTAAACATAATTGTTTAACCTGTCTCCTCCCATTCATCTACACTGATTGAAGTGGATTTAACAAGTGACATCAATAAGGGATCATAGCTTTCACTTGGATTCATCTGGTCAGCCTGTCATGGAAAGAGCAGGTATTCTTAATGTTTTTTTTATAGGCGGTGTAGGCTACTGTAATATATATTTTTTACAACAATGATTACTCAAGTAAACATTTAAGAACAACACAAAAAAGAGAGGGTCAAATCATAGCATGTTGACTAAAGACGTTTCCAAAAATGCATTCCATAGTTCAGTATGGTCCATGTGAAACACAAGTTAAGCTTACCATAATGTATGTTTCCAAATTGAAACAGTTTGTGCATATATTATGACAACATTTTGTGATGTTTTTGTTCGTTTTTGTCTTCGGCAGGTTTTTTTCTGGGTTTTCAGTAGCCAAAGTTTATGCCCCTTCGTTGGTGATTGGTCAACAGTACTACTCCTAGTAGGAGTGGGAACAATTAAGTATTTGTTGTAATTCAACAAGAGATTAGTAGTTTTCATGCAAAAAAATTCAGTTGAGAAATACAGCAACAAACATCTTAGATGTAAAATCTCCATGGCAAAAACAAAAATTAATTACAGATTTCTTGATTTATCTTAGATTAATTCGGACTATTTTGAGGAAGTTTTACTGGCGATGTTGTTGCTACGGCATCTCAAAAGGGACAAAGAGTAATATTGCTGCTTTTTTTTCATTTTTTAAGCAAAGGTCTTTTAAAGGAGTATGAGAGCACAGATGTTCGCTTACGCCTAGCCGAGTTCTGCTAGGAGCAGTTAGAACCTAGTCTGCGGGGCCTTTAGCCTACCTGTCCTCAACCAGTCTTGCAGTGCAGGGAAATAAAAGTGAAGAGCCACTTTCTGTGGTGTGTGTGTGCGTGTGTTTGTGTATGCGCGTGTGGTTAAACGCTACCTCGGAAGTGAGTGTGCGTCTGCGTGTGTGTGAAAAACAAGTTGCTAAAATGTAAAATGTGTGTGCACACGTTTCTACATGCACATGTGTGCCCGTAAGTGTACGTCCCTGCATGTGTGTCAGTACGTGTGTGCATATGTGTAGACTCCACGCTGACGACTCAGAATGTGCAGGAGGAGAAACACCGGGCTGCTTAGTGAGATTAGGAAACAATGCCAAATGGGAAGTGCACTTAATAACCCCTGACTCATTAATGGGCTTCGGATAAGAAAGCTCTCAAACAATTAGTATTAAAGAGCAAGACACTGACAGTCATAGAGGAAAGGGCTGCATGTGCCTATCCTGATTCCTGACAGCCTGTCAGAGTGTGTGGGTGGGGAGAGTGTGGACAGGAAGGTGATGTCGGAGAAGGGACACTTCAATCCCTATACCCCCCCTTAGCCCTCCCCCTCTTTTTCAAGTGTCCCTCGCTGGTGGAGTATCCCTCGAAAACGGAGCAACTAGTGGTAGGGAGATATATTGTAAATACAACCTATGGAATGGGACATTAGTACATCATTCGCGAACAGAAGAAGGGGCCAACGGATAGGCTATCATGAAATTCACTGACGACATGCCTTGTGTTTTTCATAATGCCTGTAATGGCGCCAGTAATAGCTGTCCTTATATTCCTCATGCAACAAATACACAGTTACCATATGAGCAACATAGGAGAATTGAAAAACAACAATGTGCCTGTAATGTACCCATCCTCTGTGGAGTAGTACTGAAACAGGCCTTTCCATAATAGCTGTTTGACATGTAACATTAGCATTTCCTCTACTCAGTCATTTTCTGAATTTTCTTGAGGATTAATGATTAACCAGTGGAGGCAATTAAAAATGAAAACTACTGTTCTGAACTAATATTTATACCAAACGTATTAGGGTCCATACACAGCTCGGCTACATATTTTATCCTTCACTACACAATAAGCAAGAAAAGAGTTAGCTACCAAACTACGTTACTTCAGCTGCATTGCATGACAAAGATCTTCAATCTCTAATGTTAACGTTACGACAATATAGAAGAATGACAAGTCAGGCTTTTAATTTTTTATTTGTTTGTATTTTGTATTTATTATGGTTCCCCATTAGCTGCTGCAAAGGCAGCAGCTACTCTTTCTGGGATCCAGTAAAATTAAGGCAGTTATACCATTTAAAAAATATTACAATACATTCACAACAGATTTCACAACACATGAAGTGTGTGACCTCAGGACCCTACCCTACTACCACATATCTACAACACAAAATCCATGTGTACATGTGTGTATAGTAGTTCGTATGTTATCATGCGTTTGTATGCATGTGTCTGTGCCTATGTCTATGTTGCTTCACAGTCCCCGCTGTTCCATAAAGTGTATTTTTATCTGTTTTTTAAATCTAATTTTACTGCTTACATGAGTTGCCTGATGTGGAATAGAGTTCCATGTAGTCATGGCTCTATGTAGTACTGTGCACCTCCCATAGTCTGTTCTGGACTTGGGGATTATGAAGAGACCTCTGGTGGCATGTCTTGTGGGGTATGCATGGGTGTCCAAGCTGTGTGTTAGTAGTTTAAACAGACAGATCGGTGAATTCAACATGCCAATACCTCTCACAAATACAAGAAGTCATGAAGTCAATCTCTCCTCCACTTTGAGCCAGGAGAGATTGACATTAATGTTAGCTCTCTGTATACATCTAAGGGCCAGCCGTGCCGCCCTGTTCTGAGCCAATTGCAATCCCTCTTTGTGGCACCTGACCATACGACTGAACAGTAGTCCAGGTGCGACAAAACTAGGGACTGTAGGAACTGCCTTGTTGATAGTGTTGTTAAGAAGGCAGAGCAGTGCTTTATTATGGACAGATGTCCCCCATGTTAGCTACTGTTGTATGAATATGTTTTGACTATGAGAGTTTGCAATCCAGGGTTACTCCAAGCAGTTTAGTCACCTCAACTTGCTCAATTTCCACATTATTCATTACAAGATTTAGTTGAGGTTTAGGGTTTAGTGAATGACTGGTCCCAAATACAATGCTTTTTGTTTTTGAAATATTTAGGACTAACTTATTTCTTGCCACCCATTCTGAAACTAACTGTAACTCTTTGTTAAGTGTTGCAGTAATTTTAGTCGCTTGTAGTAGCTGACGTGTATAGTGTTGAGTCATCCACATACATAGACACACTGGCTTTACTCAAAGCCAGTGGCACGTCATTTGTAAAGATTGAAAAATGTAATGGGCCTAGACAGCTGCCCTGGGGAATTCCTGATTCTACCTGGATTATGTTGGAGAGGCTTCCTTTATAGAACACCCTCTTTGTTCTTTTAGACAGGTAACTGTTTATCCACAATATAACAGTGGGTGTAAAGCCATAACACACGTTTTTCCAGCAGCAGACTATGATCGATAATGCCAAAAGCCGCACTGAAGTCTAACAAAACAGCCCCCACAATATTTTTATCATCAATTTCTCCCTGCCAATCATCAGTCATTTGTGTAAGTGCTGTGTTTGTTTAAAGTCCTTTCCTATAAGCGTGCTGAAAGTCTGTTGTCAATTTGTTTACTGTAAAATAGCATTGTATCTGGTCAAACACAACTTTTTTCCTAAAGTTTACTAAGGGTTGGTAACAGGCTGACTGGTCCGGTATTTGAGCCAGTAAAGGGGGCTTTAATATTCTTAGGTAGATAATTACTTTTGCTTCCCTCGAGGCCTGAGAGTACACACTTTCTAATAGGTTTAAATTGAAGATATGGCAAAAAGGAGTGGCAATATCTTCCATTTTTATCCTATGTAATTTTCCATCCAAGTTGTCAGACACTGGTGGCTTGTCAAGGTTGATTGACAACAATACTTTTTTCACCTCTTCCGCAATCACTTTACGGAATTCAAAATTACAACGCTAGTCTTTCATAATTTGGTCAGATAAACTTCGATGTGTAGTGTCAGTGTTTGTTGCTGGCATGTCATGCCTAAAGTTGCTAATCTTGCCAATTAAAAAATTATTGAAGTAGTTGGCAATATCAGTGGGTTTTGTGATGAATGAGCCATCTGACTCAATGAATGATGGGTGGAGTTTGCCTTTTTGCCCAAAATTTCATTTAAGGTGCTTCAAACTTTGTTTCATTGTGTAGTTTCTTCTTCTTTTTATTCAGTTTTGTCAAATGATTTCTCAATTTGCAGTACGCTTGCCAATCGGTTGTGCAGCCAGACTTATTTGCCATTTATTTTGCCTCGTCCCTCTCAACTGTACCATTTTTCAATTCTTCATCAATCCACTGGAATTTAACTGTTTTTAAACTATTTTTCTTAATGATTGCATGCTTATTAGTAA